GGTGCAAAATTCCTCAGTAAAATACTAGCTAACAGAATACAGCAACACATACATAAAATTGTTCACCATGATCAAGTGGGATTCATCCCAGGGATGCAAGGTTGATTCAACATACGCAAGTCAATAAATATGATACACCATATTAATAAAATCAAACACTGAAAAAGCATTTGATAAAATTCAACATTCATTCATGACAAAGACCCTCTACAAGTTAGGTATAGATGGAAAGTATCTCAACATAATTAAGGCCATATGTGATAAACCCACTGCCAATATCATCCTGAATGGGGAAAAGCTGAAAGCTTTTCCTTTAAGAACAGGAACTAGACAAGGATGGCCACCCTCACCACTCCTGTTCAAATAGTGCTGCAAGTACTAGCCAGAGTAATCAGAGAAGAGAAGGAAATAAAGGGCATCNAATATCACATGTTCTTACTTATTTGTGGGAGCTAAAAATAAATAAATAAATACACAAAAATACCAGGGGAGGGCAGAGGGAAGAAGACATAACAATTACAATTTTTGAAGTTGATACGACAAGTGAACAGAAAGGACATTGTTGGGAGGGAGAGGGGAGAAGGAGGAGGGAGGGAGGTTTCGGTAACTGGCCACAATAATCAACCACATTGTATATTGAGAAAATAAAATAAAATTTGGAAGAAAAAATAAACATAGTTGGAAATCTTCATGACTTTGGATTGAGCAATGATTTCTTAGATATGACACCTAAAGTACAAGCAACCAAAGAAAAAGTAGGTAAACTGACCTTCATCAAAACAAACAAACAAAAACCTTTTGTGCTTCAAAGGATATTATTAATAAAGTGAAAAGACAACCACAGAATGGGAGAAAATACTTATAAATCATATGTCTGATAAGGGGCTAGTATCCAGAATATATTAAGAACTACCACTATTCAATAATATAAAGATGAAAATTCAATTAGAAAATTGGCAAAGAATTTGAGTAAACATTTCTCCAAAAATATTCAAATGTCCAATAAGCATATGAAAAGATGCTCAACATTATTAGTCATTTGGGAAATGCAAATTGAACCACAATAAGATACTACTTTACACCTTCTAGATTGGCTATAATCAAAAAGAAAATAACAAGTGTTGGTGAGGATGTGGAGAAATTGGAACTCTCATATACTGTCCATAGGAGTGTAAAATGCTGCAGTCACTTTGGAAAACAGTTGGAAAATTCCTCAAAAAGTTATAAAGAGTCACTACATGATTCCACAATTCAATCGTAGGTATATACCCAAGAGGACTGAAAACATATATCCACACAAAAACTTGTATATGAATGCTCCTGGCAGCATTACTTGTAATAGCCAAAATGTATAAACAAACCCAAATGCCAAAGCAAAATGAATGAACAAACAAAATGTGGTACTTCATACAATGAAATATTTGGCTATATAAAGGAATGAAGTACTGCTACATACTATAACATGGATGAACCTTGAAAACATTATGCTAGCTGAAATAATCCAGACACAAAATGCTACATATTATGGGATTTCATTTGTATAAAATGTCCAGAACAGGCAAATCCAGGACAGAAAGCTGATTAGTGGTTGTCAGGGACTGGAGGGAGGAGGAAATGAAGAGTAACTGCAGGTGAGTGTTATGGAACGTGAATTATATCTCACTAAAAAAATTAAAAAACTAAAAGGTTGCTATAGAAATATTCAGCTAACAAGAAATAACTTTTTGAAAGTAAAACTATGATAGCAAAAATTTAAAATTCAGTCAGAAGCATGAAAAAATAAGCTGAGAAAATCTCCTAGAATCCATGAAAATAAAGACGAGACAGTAAATAAAATAGGGATTTAAAAAATTAAATATAAACCCAGGAGGTCACTGTATAGCTGACAGGAGTAACAAAATAAAACAAAGAACATCAAGTGGAAGAAATAGTTTTTTTAAATTACAAAATATCCCCAACCCTGTCCTCATCTGAATTACATGTCTCAGGACTGTAAAAATTAAATATAAACCCAGGAGGTCACTGTATAGCTGACAGGAGTAACAAAATAAAACAAAGAACATCAAGTGGAAGAAATAGTTTTTTTTAAATTACAAAATATCCCCAACCCTGTCCTCATCTGAATTACATGTCTCAGGACTGACAAGTCTCATTGAGTACCAAGCACAACGAATGACAAAATTCTTACACTATGACACAACAATGAAATTGTAGAACACTGGTGATATGAGAACCTAAATTCATCTAGAGTAGGGTTTCTCAGCCTCAGTACTGTTGGCATTTGGGGCTAGATAACTCTTTGTAGAGAGCTCTCCCGTGCGTTGTGGAATGTTTAGCAGCATCTCTGCCAGTTGTACCACATCCTCTAGTTGTGACAATCAAAAATGTTTTCAGACATTACCAAACGTTTCTGGGTGGCAATATTGCCCCCAGTCAAGAACCAGGGTTTTAGAGGGAAAATTAAACTTTCTCGGAAAATAACGGCTAATCAGAATGTTAACGATCATCTCAATAATGGAGATTAGAAGACATTGGAGGAATGCCTTCAAAATAATAGTGGCAAATAATCCCTAACCTATAATTCCATACCCAACAAAATCTTAAATAGACATTTGATTTTTTTGACATCTGAATTTTTCAGACATTCAAACTCCCAATAAATTTATTATGAAATATTCTTCAGGAAATCAAGGAAGTAAACCAAACAAGAGGAAGACATAAAATCTAGAATACAAAATCAGAGGAGGGAGATAAAAGAAATTCCCAGGTTGGTGGGTAGAGAAAACTGCCAGCTGTACAACAGTTCTAGAGAACAGATAGTGTTCAATTGAGCAGAAGTCTGGATAGCCCCAGGATGGCTCCAAGAAAAGGAACTGACAGATTTCTTTATGAGTTTAGCCATAACATTAGAAACATTAGACTTAAGAAAGTTTGTGTATAACTTAAAAATATGTACACAGAAAAGTAAGTAAACTGAAAAAGGGGGCAATTATTAACTTAAGGGTAAAGGAAAGAGGCTTTTCTTTTTACTGTTGAGGCTCAGGTGTAAGCAATATTGACATCATAATAATTACATAAACACTATTTAAACAGATCTATAATATTTCTAGGTAACAGGATGAAGGAGAGAAAATGTGCCTGTGTGTGTTTCTGTGTCAGCATGCATGTCTCTTAAGAAAGGAAGTAGATGGATAATATCTAAAACTGAAATTTGAGAAAAAGCATATTAGAAGCATGTTACTTAAAAATATGGAAGTACACATGGAAAAAAATAGCTAACAGCCCTAAAAGTGGTTACTTCTGGGCAGTCAGACTTGAATAAAAATATTTTTTAAAGTAGCATTCTATGACTTTAAATTGAATTTTTTTTTTCCTTTTTGTCTCTTTTTTACTGACCAGTAACGGGATCGCAACCCTCAGTGTTGCGCCCGCACCACGCTCAGCCAGTGAGCGGGAACCTGTCTCCACATGGGATCCGAACCCTCGGCGGGAGCGCTGCTGCGCTCCCAAGCAGCACACTCTCCAGTGCGCCACCGGGCCGGCCCTAAATTGAATTTTAAAAGACCACAAACTGGGGAGTCTTCATGCACTTATGCATTTACGCCTGATAACAAGAACTATCACAAAGGACTCTGCAAAGCCACAACTTTGTGCTCAGGCCATTGCAACCTTAATTTTTCAAAGTACTACTGCAAGGACATCTGCCCAACAACTGCCTGTACAACCTCAGACTGGTGTCACCCTTGTTATTGATCCTTGTAGCAAAGGAAAATTATCCCCAAACAATTATTTAATCCTCCATCATTTTTTCTTTAAAACCCTTTGTTTTCCTTTACCTCCCTGAAATACATGTGTAGTTTACTATGATGTGTATTCCCATTGCAGTGCCTATTTTTGAATAAATATCATTTTCTTTTACAGCACTTCTCTCTGTTTCTTATTTAGGTTGATGTTGATAAGGTAACAATATATATAACAAAAAGAGTATAAATAAGGTTAGGAGAGAAGGGAAGTATAAGAATGTTCATCTGTTCATTTTAAAACAGGCAGTTAAGTGCTGCTAACATCTTAATATGCATTATCATCTGTTTTTTCTAACCTTATAGGAATTATTTATCTAAACTTATGCAGATTTCATTGCTTCACCTTTTGTTTTACTATATTTAATCTGATAGTTTTAATTAGAAGCTATAAATTTATTATAGATCCATTTTATAAAATTATTTCTATTAATTTACTACTTTATGAATTCATAGACATGTTTTAGAATGATGTTGACTCAATCTTAATAAAATTATCCCTCAGTCATAGAATAATGATGCTAATTGCTTTTTTTGTACTTATTGTACATGTTTGAATCATGTAACTATATGTTATTTTAAAAGGATGACAAATGTTATTTACATACCAAAACCATTAATGTGGAAAAATATTCATAAGTCTACCAACTTTTTTCTATTGTTTTTTAATGTAACAGGGATTGGATCCTTTAGAATAATAGCAGATGTTCTAATTAAATGCTATCAATTTTGAAAGAAAATACAAAATGAGAAAATGTCACCCAGATAAAATACTGGTTCCTTTGAGGAAAGACAATAATAATCTTTTTGAAATAACACAATAGAAATCCAACAATTTACAAGACCACTAAAATTTCTGCATAAATAAAAATTATTTTTTAAAACTGAAAGCCATCATTGACAATAGAGTTAGGTTCATGCTCATGACAATCAGAAAGTTTGGAACATGATTGTTAATCATAACATGGTATCAATGAACATGCTCAAATATCAGAAATCTGAAAACTCCTGTGACTTCCAAAACTCTGACCACCCCCACCAAAAAAAAATCCTGAGAAACAGCATGTCTCTCCTGTTGTGTGTGCATGCAATCTGTGAGATGGCAAACAAAAACATTAGAAGGAATGTAAAATAGTCCAGGAGGTTGAAATAGCTACAAATATGACAATAATTACTAATGTGTGAATATATAAGCTCTTTATGTGAATAAAAGGGCTGGGAACTTATAGATTGGTCAGCGAATATTATGATTTATCACGTGTCGTCAAAGTTACATTCCTAATTGAACCCAAACTGATTCCTAGAGTTGGGATTTTCTTCGGTGTCCCCTTCACCCAAAAAGTTGGGGAATACCGATTTAAGAAACTTGAACTCGTTCCTTTCAGAGCTTTCTGCCAGGTAAACTTCACACTGATAATTCTGAGACAGGGTCCCCGTACCGCTGACGTCCACCAGGTGGCCCGGAAAGCGGCCCCCAGGCACCGAGCAGCGGCCCTCCGACGCCGCCCCGCGCCTCCTGCACAGCCGCACCGCGACCAACAGGAGCACCGAGGACAGGAAGAGCGAGGTGACCGAGGCCAACGCGATGACCAAGTAGACGGTGAGCGAGTCGGCCTGCGCCTGCTCCGGCGCCGCTTCCGGCAGCGGCAGGTAGGGCTGCGAGAAGCCGTCCACCAGCAGCACGTGCAGCGTGACGGTGGCCGACAGCGGCGGCTCGCCATTGTCCTTGACCAGCACCAGCAGTCTGTGCCTGGCCGCGTCGCGCTCGCTCAGCAGCCGGGCCGTGCGCACCTCGCCGTTGTGCGCCCACACGCCGAACAGCCCGGGCTCCGTGGCCTTGAGCAGCTGGTACGACAGCCAGGCGTTCTGGCCCGAGTCGCCGTCCACCGCCACCACCTTGGTCACCAGGTAGCCCGCCTCGGCCTGCCTGGGCAGCAGCTCGGTGCAGGGCGCAGAGCCGTTCTGCAGCGGGTACAGCACGAAGGGCGCGTTGTCGTTGTCGTCCAGCAGCACCACGCGCACCAGCGCGTCGCTGCTCAGCGCGGGGGAGCCTCTGTCTGCCGCGCCCACGCGGAACTCGAACGCCCGCAGGGCCTCGTAGTCCAGCGAGCGCAGGGCGAACAGGTGTCCGCTGTCCGCGTTGATGGACACCAGGGAGGCGAGGGCCAGCTGCGGGTCGTGGGTGGGCAGCAGCGAGTAGGTGACCTGGGCGTTGGCGCCCGAGTCTCTGTCTGTGGCGCTGACGCTGCCGATGTGCAGGGCGGGGCTGTTGTTCTCGCGGACGAACAGGGTGTAGGAGGTTTGTGTGAAGGCGGGGGCGTTGTCGTTGACGTCGGAGACCTGCACGGTTATGCTGTGCTCGGTTTTGAGCCTGGGCGTCCCCAAGTCGGTGACGGTGATGGTGATGTTGTACTCGGCTCTGACCTCTCTGTCCAGCGCTCCTTCTGTTACCAGGGTGTAGAAATTTTCTACGGTAGGTTTCAGAAGGAAGGGCAGATTGTCTTGGATGGAACACATCGTTTTTCCATTGTCCCTGGAGTCTGGATCTGAAATTCCGAAAATAGCGACCACCGTTTCTGCGGAGTTTTCTGGGATATCACTGACGAGTAAGGACACGGTCAGTTCAGGGGCGTTGTCGTTTACATCCGTCACTTCTATAGCTACTGTGCATTTTCCTGAAAGACCTCCACCATCTGAGGCCTCAATTTCCATGCTGTAAGATTGAATTTCCTCAAAATCCAACAGTTTTTTTAATCTAATTTCTCCCGTGACTGTGTTTATTTCAAAAGCCTGAAAAACTTGATTTGAGGATTGGAAAAATGTATAGCAGAGCTCCCCGTGGGTCCCAGCATCTAAATCTATAGCGGAGACAGTGATGACAAGGGAACCTACAGGGCTGTTCTCTGGGACCTGCACCTCATAGACCTGCTGAGAAAATTCAGGGGCATTGTCATTGATATCCAGGACCAAGATGAGAACCTGAGAAGTCCCAGTCCTGGGAGGTGACCCACCGTCCAGCGCCATGAGGGTTAACCTAAGCTCTGGCTGCTCCTCACGATCCAGCGCTTTGTACAGCACCAGCTCTGGGTATTTTCTGCCGTCGCTGAGATTGCGGGTGAAAAGGTGGAAATGGGAGTTGGTACTAATTATGTAGTTCTGAACTGTATTGCTACCTACGTCCGAATCTTGTGCTATTTTCAAAGGAAACGGAGTCCCTGGATAGCTACTTTCCGGGATTTTCAAGAGGATTTCATTTTCTAAGAATTCTGGGGCATGATCATTTATATCTTGGAGTTGTAGTTCACCTTGAATAAACTGCACTGGGTTTTTCAGTAATACCTGGAAATGCTGTATACATGGATCCGTGTCAGCACACAACTCCTCCCGGTCCAATTTTTCTTTTAGGAGCAAATTCCCAGTCTTTCGTTCGATCTGCAAATGCTGTTTGTTTCCTTTGGAAAGAATCTGGGCGCCCCGCGCGGCCAGCTCCCCTATGCTCAGCCCCAGGTCTTTTGCTAGGTTGGCCACAAAAGAACCACTGTCCCTCTCTTCTAGAACGGAATACTTAATGGTTGCACTGCCCGCCTCCCACAATAGTAATAGGAAAATAATGGCGGTCACTTGCCTTTTCTTCGGCGCTTTGGGGAGCGGCGTCTCCATCGTTCCTCAGGGTCCAGAAGATGCAGTATTTAATCATAAAATAATTGCTTTATAGTCACAGCTATCTTGGCTTAATAATTTTGAGTTAGTTCTTTTTGACACTGACTGACATGGAGATAGCTGTCTCTCTGAAACCTTCTATCCCCAGTAGTGCAAAATGTTTGCTTTTCGAGCCGGCAGAAACCGTTCTGCTTTTGAGTCACTGAGTCTGCAGTTTTCCACACTCTTAGCCTGCAGCGCCACCAAGCGTTCCTCTTTACAACTTCAGATAATTTTCATTTCAAAGCGCAGTGTAACAGCTAAAACCTATCATATGACATTTAGGTCTAGGCGTGTAATGTATTCCTCGCCCGGTCCCCCCCTTCAACCCCCCGCCCCCACCCCACCCCTCATGCAGTCTTGTTCAGGTAGCTAACAATAGTTGTGAGAGCAAAAGTAACATTTATATCTACATCTATATTCATCTTATAAAGGTACAAGTTCATTACACAAAACTGGTCTACGCGAATTCATTTATTCCTTTAACAAGTATATATCTGTGCAGGCATTCTTCTAGCTTCTGAAGATAAAAGTAAATGAAACACAAAAATTCTTGCTCTTGGGGAGTTTACATTCTATTACAAAAATACGGATTTGTTCTCTTGTGTCAGGAAAAATTACTGCATAAGTTTTTAAATCCAGTTTCTACTCCCAAATTGCAATGCGCCTGTAACTCTTGAAAGAAAATAAAAATGTGATTTTTTTTTTGTCAGTCTCTGGCATACATATTCTTTCAGAAAAAAATTTCTTCATAAATTCACTGTATGCAACGCCCAGTACAGTTGAAGGAAAATGGCAATTCATTTTATTAGAAATCAATATTAGCTCAGAATTCAGTCTTTTCTACAAACATGACAAAGATGATAAAGTCAACAAAGTCAAAAATAATACTTTCTGGGAAAGGATTTTGACCTGTCTGCATTGAACAGGGGCCCATCCCAATGTACATACTCTGGGACTATGGAGATGGGGTCATTGAAAAACACCACTGCCCCAACTAGAGCCATGTGGTTGGAGCAAAAATAGTGGAAGAAGCAAATACTCCTCCCCCCCCCAAGAAGAAGAATGCTACTCCAAGGAGGGGAGGGTAAATATCTGGGAATACAAAACAGTAAATGTTCCCTACACTCACTGAGTCAGTTGGTAATAACCCATGATAATTAACTTATTTAAACACTAAATGCAGCCAAATGTAATTTAGTTGAGTCCTGTTCCATTTAATTAAGAATAAAAATAAAATATTCACTGAACTGTCACTTTAATGTAAATTGCCTGCCTTTGTTAGGAGGTTAAAAAGGGAGATTTTTCATGAAATACCACAAATATAACTGACACAAATATTTGTCTAATATGTGAAAACTGTGAAAGTAAGTGGTTTATGGTTAACAAAAATGATGCTTACACAGCACTAGAAGGGAAAATCTGACTACCTAATAACCTGCCATTAATAGCTTACTTAGGTCTTGGCAGGTATCATATATAGAAGCTTGAGAAAGTGAGAGGAGTTTGGAAAAATATAATATGAATTTTACAAAACCATATCTTTGAACTTTCAACTTGTTAGAAACAAGGAGATAAAATGTTATCTCAAGCATTTTATGTTCTATAATAGAGTGAAGGGTGTTTTCTGCTTTGAAGGAAAACAAAAGAGTGATTAACTAAGTAGTGATATTTAAGAATTTCACTCACTGACAAGGGTACTTTAATGTAGAGAGAATATTAGCATCTTTATTCATAGAAAGTGTATTTTAGGAATAAATTCACTACTTGAATGTTAGTAACACTCAGTAAATAGTTATTAAACATTTATAATTGGCTTGGTGTTGTTTTTAAAAGGACCATCATGTTCTTACATGAGGCTGACAAATTGTAATTTAATATATTGACACCTCAGTAAAGTCTATTTTCATATATTATATGTACTAGTGTTGACTGTTACGGTACACTGAAATACACACAAGCAAAATGGCTAAGTGTTTAGCTATCTTTAGAGTTTGTCTTTAGTTTTACATACTGTAGGAGTTACCACAAAATAAGAGTTACATTGTAAGGTTAAAGAATATCAAATTCTTACATTTAAAACATAGTCCCACATGGCAATGTCACCAACAAACAAATGTCACCAATACTTAGAAATGTAATCTTACTTATTAAGTACATTACAATATATTTTTGTAAAAAGAATAGATGCCTTAATTTTAATGCCAAATACACTCATGTGAGGGTAGTAAAAAAAAAAAACTACTAAGCATAAAGAGAGAAAATACTGCATACTCCCAGTATATGGCTTTTTAAAAATGTCAACCTAAGAATAGTAGTAAAATAAGCAAGAAACAAACCTTCAATAACATGCATCAATAACATGCAACTTTAAGTTAAAAGAAATTTCCAAACTCAGTAAGTAGGGCCTAGCAGAAAAACCCAGCACTTAACTGAATGGGAAGCCATTCTCAAAGGTGGGGCTTTCCTCCATTTCCTTCCCAGTACCCTGAGGAGGAAAGTTAGGCATAATCGGCCTCAGAAACTTGAACTCGCTGGTCCCTGACTCTCCCATCAGACACACCTCATACTGGTAGCTCTGGGACAGGGTCCCCGTACCGCTGACGTCCACCAGGTGGCCCGGAAAGCGACCCCCAGGCACCGAGCAGCGGCCCTCCGACGCCGCCCCGCGCCTCCTGCACAGCCGCACCGCGACCAACAGGAGCACCGAGGACAGGAAGAGCGAGGTGACCGAGGCCAACGCGATGACCAAGTAGACGGTGAGCGAGTCGGCCTGCGCCTGCTCCGGCGCCGCTTCCGGCAGCGGCAGGTAGGGCTGCGAGAAGCCGTCCACCAGCAGCACGTGCAGCGTGACGGTGGCCGACAGCGGCGGCTCGCCATTGTCCTTGACCAGCACCAGCAGTCTGTGCCTGGCCGCGTCGCGCTCGCTCAGCAGCCGGGCCGTGCGCACCTCGCCGTTGTGCGCCCACACGCCGAACAGCCCGGGCTCCGTGGCCTTGAGCAGCTGGTACGACAGCCAGGCGTTCTGGCCCGAGTCGCCGTCCACCGCCACCACCTTGGTCACCAGGTAGCCCGCCTCGGCCTGCCTGGGCAGCAGCTCGGTGCAGGGCGCAGAGCCGTTCTGCAGCGGGTACAGCACGAAGGGCGCGTTGTCGTTGTCGTCCAGCAGCACCACGCGCACCAGCGCGTCGCTGCTCAGCGCGGGGGAGCCTCTGTCTGCCGCGCCCACGCGGAACTCGAACGCCCGCAGGGCCTCGTAGTCCAGCGAGCGCAGGGCGAACAGGTGTCCGCTGTCCGCGTTGATGGACACCAGGGAGGCGAGGGCCAGCTGCGGGTCATGGGTGGGCAGCAGCGAGTAGGTGACCTGGGCGTTGGCGCCCGAGTCTCTGTCTGTGGCGCTGACGCTGCCGATGTGCAGGGCGGGGCTGTTGTTCTCGCGGACGAACAGGGTGTAGGAGGTTTGTGTGAAGGCGGGGGCGTTGTCGTTGACGTCGGAGACCTGCACGGTTATGCTGTGCTCGGTTTTGAGCCTGGGCGTCCCCAAGTCGGTGACGGTGATGGTGATGTTGTACTCGGCTCTGACCTCTCTGTCCAGCGCTCCTTCTGTTACCAGGGTGTAGAAATTCTCCTCTGAGGGTCTTAGAGAAAAAGGGAGATTGTCATCTATAGAACAAATAACTTGTTGGTTATGTCCAGAGTCTGCATCTGAAACACTAAAAACTGCCACTGTGATATCTGGCAAGTTTTCGGGGATGGGGCTAATGAGTGAGGACATGGTCACTTCAGGGGCGTTGTCATTCACGTCCAGGACCTTGACGACTAAAGAGCATTTTCCTGTTAGACCCCCGCCATCTGTGGCTTCAACGCCCACGTGATAAAACTGAAATTCCTCAAAATCCAAAGTCTTTCTCAGTCGAATTTCTCCTGTGATTGCGTTTATTTCGAAGGGTTGAATTACGTCATCGACTTGAAAAAGGGCATAAGATACCTCCCCAAAGGATCCTGCATCTAAATCTCTCGCTGAGACGGCAGTGACCGTAGAGCCGACAGGGTTGTTCTCAGGAACTTGTGCTTCATAGAGCTCCTGAGCAAACTCGGGGGCGTTGTCATTGCTGTCTAAGACCAGTATCTGAATCTTTGTTGTCCCTGACCGGGGCGGAGACCCACCATCCAGCGCGGTGAGTGTTAGTGTGAGTTGGGGCTGTTCTTCGCGGTCCAATGCGTTTTCCAGCACTAGCTCCGGGAACTTCCTGCCGTCGCTGCGACTGCGGGTGAGAACTTGGAAGTGAGGGTTGGAGCTGACGGTATAGCTCTGAAGGCTGTTGCTGCCAGCGTCTAAATCCTGTGCCATTTTCAAAGGAAATGCCTTTCCTGGCGTTGTAATTTCTGATATTTTCAGGAGGATTTCTCTGGCAGGGAACTCTGGGGCGTGGTCATTTATATCTCTGACTCTCAAGGCAGCCTGGAAAAACTGCAAGGGATTTTCCAATAATACTTGGAAAGGTAGCACACACGGCTCAGTGGAGCCACACAGCTCCTCCCGGTCCAGTTTCTCAGTAAGCAGCAAATCATAGGTCTGTGGTTCAAAGTGCAAATGCTGTCTGTTCCCCTTGAAAACAACCCGGGCACCCCGAGTGGCCAGCTCTCCCACCCTGAGTCCCAGGTCCTTCGTCAAGTTGGCCACAAACGTGCCACTTTCTGTCTCCTCTAGTACAGAATACTGAATCGATTCTGAACGGACCCCCCACAAAAGCATCAGTATAATAAAAATCGCCACTTGCCTTTTCTTGTGCTGTACTTTCATTTGTGCCATCAATATGGTTATGCCTGATTCCAGAGGAAAAATCCTTTTCAGCTCCCAATCACCACGTCCACCGTCGACCCTCCAAAATGTCTTTGCTATAGATTTTTGAATTCGTTCTTATAAATTGTCTGGTGCTGACTGCCTTCCAGAACACTTCTATCTTAGCCGGAAATGGGTTCTGTATTTTTACTTTGTCTTCTGGGTGAAATGGAGTCCACTGAATCTGCAGACCGTTTATTCACTCTCTTAGCCTGCACGCCTTCCAGAACACTTCTATCTTAGCCGGAAATGGGTTCTGTATTTTTACTTTGGCTTCTGGGTGAAATGGAGTCCACTGAATCTGCAGACCGTTTATTCACTCTCTTAGCCTGCACCGCCACCACGCGTTGAAATGAATAACTTCATGAGGTATTTTCAGATCAATCCCATTTCCGAAATCTGAACACAGGAAGACTTTAAGGTTGAGTCAGAGTTTCTCAGACGTAGTGTGTAAACTGCGTGGATAAAGAATTCTTTGGATGTCTCGTGTTGAGTGTGTGGTTTTGTTTTCAAGCCAATTCCTGGGCTCCCCTCCAAATCTTGAATCAAATTCTCTGGTGGTGCTAATCTGCATTGATTGAACTTTCCTCTTAAGTAATTCTCATGAATACTAACATTTAAGAATCACTCCCTCAGGTAATGTAAACTTCCTACAATCAACTTCGGTTATTTAGCAGTGCATTTTATCTCTGATGAGCCATGTAACTTATGAGTCTAAGAGGTACACTATTTAATTGTCCCAACAAACAAATCAACAAACTATACAAAAAGTAGAAGTTGGTTAGGAACACTAATGGTAAAATAAACAATAAATTCTCTAAATTATGACTCACAAATGGCATAAACAACAGACTTACTTTGTTATGTGGTTACGCCTTCAAGTAAAGAGAATAATTAAGCTATTAGAAGGAAAATTGGTGCCAAGAAGTACTTATGGTAGATGTATCTAAGCAAATTATTATTTAAGAGAGGAGCTAGGAACAATCAAGTACTTGTATTTGTCATAAGCATTTTAGTATTTCTCTTCATTTCTGTATGAATAGAATTGGTCTTGATTTTAAGAGATTTGTGCATTTTATCCTATTTTTTTGTTAATTTCCCATCTTACACTATTTAACCACTCAAGGTCTAAACACAAGGACATTTCAAAAAGTTCACAGAAAGATTTGTATTGTCTTTTAACTCTATTTTTCCATGAACTTTTTGAAGTACCCTCATATATTACCCTGTTGTAAGGACATGATGCAATGCACAAAACAAATGTTAGTCT